AAAAAAAAAAAAAAAATTGAAATTGTTTCTGGAAAAATCATATGCAATTACAAGTCTAAATAACTCTTTGACTGCTCACATTATTTTAAAACTCATTATGTTAATTTTTATAATTTTAGTCAAAAGATTCCTTAATAATGTGATTTACTACTAGAAATGTACAATAAAAGTACACACCTTGACCAAACTTTTACATATATTGCCCCTTTTATAGAATTCCAATATTAGCATCTCAGAAATTTTACTTATTTTTTCCTCTGAATCAGGAGAATAACCTCTGAGAATTAACATTTACCAAAAAGAAAATATCACTAGCTTTATAATTACATCCTTTGTAACAATTAGCGTTAAGAGGTAACTCCTAAAAGGCGTAGCAATAAGAAGGCGAAGGCGGTCTCTCCTCCAAACTTTCCATACTTCCTTACGCAGTCTCCGTTCTCAATGCAGACCTACAGGGGAAACTCTGTACAGTGGCCTGCAAAACCGTACATGTAATCTGTGTTTGGAGAATATTTTACTAATTACGCATGTTGACTTATCCTTTTGCTGAAATTGTCAGTACCCAGTTAACATTCTGTCATTCCCAGAGCACATTCTGTAATGTTCCGTACATCCTAAGGCCATGCTCATTCAATTTGCAGAGATAATGGTCAGTGGAAATACCTTTTCTTCTTTTTTTTTTTTAGCTTATGGTCAAATCATTCTTTTTGGCAATCATCTCAAGAAAATAATTATACTGTGCCTCGCCCCGGAGCAGATGTGGTTATTCCCGAAGGTACATGTGCAAATGTGAATGGGTGAAGTGCTTGTGTCTGTGTCACATTGATGCTGCAGCAGGACGGATATCCCGGCAGTTAGGATTTCACTTTCATCCAGCCCACCCTGGGGAAAGAGGTAGTGTGAAGAAACAGACCCATGATCATCTCCTGGTTACAAACTATGGTCTCCTTGGTGTCATGTGGGCTTAAGCCTGACCATAGCAATAACACAAGCTGGGTGTGGGAGTCCGTACCTGAGTTCCTGCTCAGGAAACTGAGTCACAAGACTTACTTGTGCCCAGGTGTCCACGGCAAGCTTGAGCTTCCTAAGAAGGCTTCATCTCAAAGAAAAGAAGGAAAAAAAGCACACTAGCGTCTTTTCTGGGAAGGGTGGGGCTCATTCACTATGTAGAAAGTTGCATCAACACTAGTACTCACTGAAAAGCTTGTCAGTGTTTTCTCATAGACTACCACGTGGGCTGTATTTCTTAAAGTACTGTTTTGTAGGAGCATGGATTGTAGCTGACACAGATTTGCCACCCATGGAAAGGCTCATTATCTGGGGAGTTCTGGAACTAGAAGATAAATCCAGGGTAGGAACTTCAGGGACCTCTTACAGGGGAGTTGTTTTGAACGCTACCTACATATCTGTGCAGGTAAGAATGAAGTTTTGGATTGCATGTCCTTCACTAATCAAAGTCTAAGAGGTCCATTTATTGAAAGATTTTTAAGAAAGCATTTCCAATAGATTTGAGTAAAAATAGCACCACTCTAGCTCATGAAATGAGAAAATCAGATAATTCTAACATATTCCCCCTCTCAACTTTCTGAAGGAGTAACTTTCAAGATCCTCTTAAGTGTAAGATTTCCCCAGCTTCAATTCTACATAAAATATTTGTGTTGTTTTTCACTGAACCTAAACAATAAGCTTATTCCAACAAACAACAAATCCTTAGGAGTTCGAGGAAAACATTTAAGAGAATTTAAATCCTTTTTAAAAAGAGTGCAAACGGTATTTCTTAACACGAATGACTGCAAATCAAATTATGAAAGCAGGGGTGAATGAATGAAATGCTTCAGTTATTTGGAACAATCGCCTCATTTTTTCACAAGCTTCAGATGTGTCCTGAACACATTAACTGCTTAACCAGTCTAGTTCTTCTGTCATCATTTATTATTGTTCATGGAAAAAAAAATTGATCTGAGCTGGCCAGATAGTTCAGTGGATTAAAACGCCTGTTTATACAGATGCAGGGACCAGGGTTCTGTCGTGGCCTGCTGTGCTGGCCCCATTCCCAGGGCATGCAGAGTTGGCAATTGAGACTGGGCATGGTGGTGCGTGCCTGTAATCCCAGTGCTTGGGAGGCTGAAAACAGGAGGATCACTACGAGTCTGATCTATGTAGTAAGACTCTGTAAATCCTGTACTAAATACATTTAAAAAATTGACCTAACCAAAAGCTACTTGGTACCATTTTTAAAAAGTAGTTCTTATTTTTCAAGAAAAGTGCAGAAACCTGGTGTTTGATGTGAAGGACATGACATTTTGGTCAGATAAATGAACTTTGAGGTAAATTAAAGCTAAAATTGAATGCTAACCCCACTGTTTGATTTTTGCATAACTTGGAGTAAATTACTTTTCCTCTTTCAGTATCAGCTTTCTTACCTGTGAAATGAGAATAAAAATACTGAGTTATGAGTTTAACGTACAGGTTACAGTATGTAGATACATCTGACACGCCATCATCAAATATTTAACAAAAGCTGTTAATAGCAACAAGAGCTCACAAGTGACAGGGCTTGCGCATGAGGAAGAGGGTGTCTTGCAAGCACCCAAATACACAGTGATTTCTTTAACACTATTCAGTTTTATGTTAATTAGGGAGAGGATGAAAGGTGGAAAGGATGGGGAGGGAAAGGGAAAAAAAGAAGAATCAGGATATATTATGTACAGGTACAAATTCTCTATGATGAATGTGATCAATATGTAGGACAAATACACACTAATAAAAAATATAAAGCTAAAAATATTCAGTTTGACTTGGAGAGAAACATTTAAGACTGCTTGTTTCAAAATAAATGTGTTAAGCTAAAGTCACTTCCAGTTATAATACTGTTACAGCAACACATACTCGCTTCTGTTCAGCAGGGTTTCCAGTGACTTCTGACTTCTTTTTTTATGGGTGAAGGTTTTTCTGTTGAGTTTTTTAAGTATTAACAATTTTCTGCTTCACTGCAGGGAGGTAGATTAATTGGTGGCTGGGAAGATAATCCTTTTAAAGGAGAATTACAGATTGTGCTTCGAGGAAATCATTCTACCCCAGAATGGGCTCTTCCAGAGGGACCGAATCAAGGAGCAAAGGTCCTAGGTATGTGCTCTAGACAGCAAAAGTTCAGGGCCATTTTGAGAGTTTACTGTGAGAAATATAGCACTAGGCATCATATTTAGCTTGCAGTAGCATGCTACAAGAAGCTTTTGTGAACATTTATTTGTACTCAAGTACAAATTAACAAGAAATTTTAAGAGATTTTATATATCTGTATATACAAAATAGTTAACACAGATATACAACTACTATCTCTTAGTTCAGAGAGAAGAAAGATTTGTACTAATAGTGTTTAGACGAGATACCATGTCTCCATCTTGTACTATGAATAGCTACTACAAAGACAACAATCTGCAATGTATTAATCACTATAACTATTCTACTAACCAGTTTAGAAACTGTCTCATTGCTATTTCTTTTTTAATAAAGTGAAAAAAAATTAAGCAATGTGATATTATACCAGATAGAAATCAATATAGATGTGCATATTTTAAATCAAATTATAATGTATCACAAAACTAAAATTTCTACATTACATCTCTGATCTGATTTTTTTTCATAACCTTTCTTCTGTCTAGGCAGTGTTTTTTCCCCAGTGCTTTTCCCTTAACAGGGCACTGTCCTACACATCATCCCCTAACAGTCTTACTAAATAATCCATGGCCCAGCTGTTTTCCTCTCTCAGCTGCTGGATCAGAGCTGCGGCTAAGCCTTACTTTCTGATCACAGCAGTATGCTATGCATAGTTCTAATTGAACCTGGAAAGCAGAGGGCCTGAAAGAGTTTTAGTTGGATCACGATGAATAACTGCATATTATTATTATTATTATTATTATTATTAATAATTTATTTCTTTTTTGGCGGAACTGGGGATTGAACTCAGACGCTTGCACTTGTCGGGGAAGTGCTTATTCTACTGAGCCACCTCTCCGGCCCCAATTTATTATTAATGCTACTATATATTTACTTAGAAGTCCCATAGAAGCATTTCTCCACTGTACAGTTTGTAAAACTGATAGTCAAA